ACAGCCCGTCTGGGCCCGAAGGCCTATAACTTTCAGGATACCTTATCTCCTGGGAAACCTCGATTTCAGATGGAAGACTGGCATCGACTGAAAGTGTTTGCAAAGGCGACGTGTGGGGTGACAGATCTGAGGTCAAGAGGGGCAAATTGAATTGAGTTCAAACTATCTATCAAGACGGCAATGCTCACGACGAACTGTCGTGAAAACGGATCCCTTAATGACCTCACGCCTAATTTCATGGGGCCGTATTCCAACTTAAACGGAAAAGTGCGACGAAGAGCCTCAAGAAGGACCGCGAGAACTGGTGGGCAACAACAGCTGGTAAAATGGAAGTAGCAGCTGCCCCAGAGAATAGTCGAAGACAGCTCCAACTGATACGCAAAACCGGAGGTCAATGAACTACAGTTAGTGAACTGGTTGCGGTAAGATGGGGTAAGCTATTCACAATAGGAATCAACGGCTTAATCAATGGGCGGAATACTCCAGCGAACAGTTCAGCTGGCCTGGTGCAAGCCAAGTTACTTCATCTGTGATTGAAGATCCGTGGACAGTGACGCACGATCCTCCAGAAGAAGTTCGGCAGTGCATTCAAGCATTGAAACGAGGAAAGACAGCAGGACCGGACAAGCTCCGTTCCACTTTTTGCAAGATAGGGGGGAGGGGGGGAGCGATAACCCTTTAAGCTATATTCCTACTATACCGCACGACATTTGGACACAAGAGCGCATTCTTTGGGGTTGATCACTAACCGTCCCCATTTTCAATAGAGGATCTCGCAAGGATTGTGAAAATCACTGCGGGATAGGTTTGATCCCAATCGTGACCAAAGTGCATCCATCATACTGTGACTTATGACGCCTTTAAGAGAGACCCATATCCATGAACACCAAACCGGATTCCGGCCCGGCAGTGGATGTATTGATCAAATCTTCACGTTGCATCAGATCCTTGAGCTGTAACATGTCGAAAATGCTGAAAATTCATCCTATCGGGTGCATAAAGTCTTCCTTGACTTGACTTGACTTGTCACACCCACTGCCGACCAACGATCGCAGTGTTCCTTGACCTGGGAGAAGTGTTTGACCCAGTTGACCGCGAAGCTTTGATGGGCTGCCTTCTTCGAAAAGGAATACCCCAAAAGTACGTTAACGTCACTGCACCTCCGGTCGTATAAAGGTCCATGATGAACTAAGTAGGCTGTTTGTCACCAGCAGCCGATTTCGTCAGGGGTGCCCTCTCTCGCCGTTCCTGTTCAACTACGTCGTAGACGAAATACTGCAGCACGCACTTAGTGGTCTCCAAACCGTAGGTTTTGAATGGACAGTTGGAGAAAAGCAGTTTGATTTGGGATACGCCGACAACTTCGTCTGTCTGTTCGAATGTATGGAGGACGTGCAAAGCGCACTTGATAGATTACCAAGTGCAGTTGCCACATTCGTCATGTGCTTCGCACCTTCAAAGTGCAAAGTGATGCTGCAAGGCTGGATGTTGCCGAATCCCGCTCTGAAACTAAATGGCCAGGATTTAGTTGTGGTGGATTGCTTTTCCTACTTAGGTAGTGGCGTGACCAATGACGGTAGCGTAAGAAAGGAGATAATCACCCACATTTCCAAATCTCGAGCAGCATACGTAAGACTGAAACACCTATGGCGTAGAGGCGACGTTTCACCGAAGTTGAAAGGTCGTGTAAATTGCGCTACGGTGGTTGTGAGACCTTGAATTTGCGAGTGGAAGATATTCATCGACTAGAAGTTTTCGATTATCGGTGTTTACGTGGTTTAGCCCATGTTGGATGGAGCGAAAGGGTTAGTAGTATGGAGATAAGCCGTCGTGTGTTCGGATTAAACTTGTTAGTTTATCGAATTCAGATTGGTAGGCTTCACTGGCTAGAACACGTATCGCGTATGCCTGTCGTCTGCCGCACCGCGCTACATTCATTGCAGCCGTTCCGAGCTGGAGGATACAACGTGAAGGTCAACAGATGATGCGGAAGCGAGACATAAAGAAATGCAACGAACTATTAGGTAGTGTAGGTACCTTCCATCTGTTAGGTTTGGGTCCGAAAGATTCTGCAACTTGTTGGTTGGAGACATCGAAGGACATGACAACGAACCGACAGCAGTGGCGTTCTTGTTGTCATTTCTTATCAGGACAGAATGATTGAAACGGTATGCATGCAGAGTTCGATTGTGTATTCTGTGTTGTTCGTAGAGGTTCACCTTTCCTCTCCCTTACAATAGGTCCAGTCCCTGTCCACCTTAAATTTTACCACTAACCGTGTATGCAATGCGGGTGTGGCAGCGATCAGTGAAGTTTGCTTCACTGTATTTCGCTGTACGATGATGATGATGATGATAATAATAATAATGTTTCCAAGCTTTGGTTATGTCGGTCACAATGTCCCAGCAAGGAAGCCGAACGCGACTTACCTGACCAAGTCGTCTGGCAATTGCTTGTACTTTATACCCAACTGCGGTCTGGCAAAATGACGAAATGAAAAACATTCAGTCACTGGTACGCAGAACGCAATTTTCGCCTAGTGTTTCCAGAGTTATGTGCGAGGATCCCAGTGCGCGAAAATTCCGATAAAATAAAAACAGAACCATATGTCAACTTACAACTTATACTCATTGACTGCCTGTGATTGCAACTCGCGCTTCTTATCCATCACAAGACAGTCCCGCGCGAGTAAAGAGAAACACCAACCCAATATGAGATGAGACCTGGCATTCATGACTGGATCATTGAGAGCAGACGACACCTGTTGAATGGGTGACAAAAAAAACGAACCAAAATCAAAAATTACCTAAATATCGTTTGGCAACTCCTACAACATACCGTGGATACGAGTAAAGTGCTTCCCGATGATTATAAGATGGTTCTAACTACTTGGCAGGCAAAACGCTAATTTATATTGTGCATTAATTAAAGAACTGACAGTGGGGAAAAACACAACATTAACAATAGCGAAAAATAATGATTCAAATTTATTTTTGATCAAAAAAGTACTGGGAGATAGGTACCACCAAACGAAGATTGCAATGAAATCTCAGGAAAACAGCAAAGCGATTGGCGGGTAAGGAGTTTGTATGCACGAACAACTAGTTGATGTACTGCAGATATATGCCATTCAACTACTTTCGCTCGGTAGCTGTTTATTATATCGGATACAAAATAACTTCCGGAACCAAAAGGCAGAATACTACGGATAAAGAAGCTGCTCAGATAAGTGAACGCGGTAAACGCAAGCACATCCATTCGGCACTGATTCATGCCATCCAGGATACTTAACCAAAAGTTGTACGGATTGCGAGGACTCCAGCTCGACAGTTCACCTTAGCCAATATGTCCTAGACCATTATACATGCATGCGTTGGTTAGAAACATTTGATGACCATCCCTGACGTTCAGTAAGAACATCACCTGAGCAACAATCCGGCAGGCAAAGGGGATAGGTGAGAAGTCGATGTCAGTGGTGTGCTTCAGTGCCAAACATGAGAGGTCCACACTTCGCCAATGCAGCCCGATTGGTAGTAATCAGCGTCGCCAAAGTTTGGTTTGACACCACGCCTATTCTACCAGGTATTGTGTAGTTTATTCCGCCCCGCCCCCAAATTTGAGTCAACAATGCTTGTAACCGATTAGTTATTTCTCGTGAATAAAGGGATCGTCTCTGGTACTGTTCGTAGCACAAGGGTGAGTAATAAAAAGTTCAGAAATACTGGGAAACTTTTTGTCCTGTAACAAAAAGAGAAAATCCAAAGGAGACACGATGAGCAATTCTAAAGGGTTAAATCATACGCCATCACAACTATCGAAGTATTATACACATTAACTGTCCGATCAAAAATTAATGGACTACTTACGGCCACAGCTTGCGTTGCTAACTCAAAACCGTCTTCGATAAAACCCAGATGGCCCAAACATAGGGAACTGGCCAAAAAGTACACTGATAATTTGCTTGAATCTAAGCGAAGACATTCACGAAGTACCAGGTACGCCCGATAATACTGTCAAGGAAGGAAAACACACAAGAAAGATGACAGAAAAGAAACAGAATCGCAATGATAGAATAATTTTTACATCTTCGGTTTTCTAGAACTGATAAATCTGCGATCCCATCCTCTAGTTTCGGATACTGCTATTCGGTTAGAATGGCATAAATATTAAAATATGGAACATGTGTAAACTAGATGTTTCTAGAAAGCGAACAAAAGAAATAGTTACACGTTGAAAGAAACCCAATTATTTTACACTGTCTTTAACCATTTGTAAGGTTGACTTCGTGGACCCTGAAGGAGAAGATCAATTAGACCTACATAACATGCCGTCCCGCACTCGATCTTCTTTCAGAAAAGACCACATGTCAAGGAAGACTACATATCATATGCACGACACATCTCCATCACCACAATCAATGAGCGGGGAGGTCGAACAGGTAAGAGGACAGCTGTGATAACCTGATTTTCTCTCCCTAATACGGAAATGGTTTGCCGGGTGGTTATATCGAACTCCCAGAATGCCGCGCAAGCGGTAATGCTCGAACAAATATAACCTTTAGTTATTTTCTTCCTGTAACGGTCTTTAAAAAACATACCGATTTTTTTTTACAGAATACACGCGCGATATGTGGTGCATTTCACTGTGTCCCTCAGTGTGCTCTTGTGTTCTGATTCGGTTGAAATTCGTTGATTAGTGATCTTTGGACACATCTTTGGTTGATCGACAGCAGCATGAGANTTATGACGATCGTCAGCTTCAGTTTTGGTTTATACAACCATGCACCTTCGTGCGCCGATTTTGGTTGCTGTCCTTCGGCTGCTCATTTGGATGAACAGTGGGAGAAAGATCATGAGGTTAAAAGTAGAGTCGAAAAAAAATTAATAACTCCAGTAAACTACGGCTGTAAAGAAATCGAGATGAACGAACGGCACTGTTTACGACACTCGGCCATATCACTCAGTGTCTCTAACCACCGGTTACGATCATTCCGGGGTCCCCAACCAGGAAGCCTAACGGGGTCTATGTGATCTAGTCTCCTGGTTAGGGTTTTCATACCCTCATGCCAGGTCTTAGTTTGATCATCCTTGACTGTTTTCCAACAGCTACCTGTCTCAGCAAACATCGCTCGCCGTGGCAACCTATCTGGTGATATGCGTAACACATGCCCCAACCAACGTAATCTATGAGGTCGACCACTTGCTCCAGTGGGGGGCCGCGGTTACCTAAAACTCCGCGCCCAACCTCAGTATTCCTCGTGCGATTGTTCCACCAAACTCATGCAATGCTGTGTAGACACCGGTGTTCGAACACCGACAATCCATCTTTGTCCTGTTTTCTTTATAGCCAAGTTCCTGCGCCGTATAGCAGAACTGGCGGAACTGCCGCGGCTTACACTCGACCCTTCACAAACAGCCGGATGTCGCGACGGAGCCACAAATGTCACAAGTTGGCAAATGCCAACCGAGCGTTTTTACGCGCTCCCAAACTTCATCCGTGATGCGTCTACTGGGTGAGATGTGTGTGTGATGATCGACAACTTAAGACCTGGGAGCTGGAGTGGCGGATCACGTAAAGCCCTAACAGAATGGGCCGGTATTGAGCCGGCGG